AAAAAAAAAAAAAAAAAAAAAAAAAAAAAGTATAAATAAATTTATATATTTAAACAAAATGACTAAAAAATAAAAAAATAAAAATTAATTTTTTTTTGCTTCAGACAATAAACTATCAAGACCAAATGGATCTGATATGTCTTTTATAAATTTAACAGGTTCAGTATTTTCTCTTGTTTCAATTTTTTGTAAAGTTTTCTTTAGTCTTTCATTTGAAAATTTGTAAATATGAGAATTAGTTTTATTATTAAACAAAGATGTGTCATATATTTGATAAGTATCATCGTCTTGTGTATTAGTATTATCATTATTTATATTAAATAAACTTATATCATGAATGTTATTATTTTTACTAACATTAACTTTATTTAAAGCTATTTGTTCTTCAACATACCTATTTTCATAATTCTTCACTTTTTTCAGATTTTTTTCTATTTTATATTCTCTTTCAATTTCTCTTTTTCTTTCATTTATAATAGAACTGTGAGAAAATCCTTTCTCTTTTCTAGCTTGAATAGCAAGATTTTTAAGGACATTTTCTTTTTGTTCTTTTTCTTTTAGTTTTTTTTGCTTAATAATGTTATTTCTCATTCTAATTTCTTCTCTAGCCTTTTTCTCTGCTACATATAAATATTCACTTAAGTGTGCAAAATTCTCATTTACTTCAACACTGTTTAATTTTTTATTATCACTTTGAATTCTTTTATCTAAAGGAATATTATACCCTTTGTTATTTTTCCAATTGGAAACACACGGAGGTATTTTCCAGTCATTTTCTTCTTCTTTATTTAATTTTCTCGTTGGAGATCTTAATAAAGGATAGTCAGGTGAATTTTTAACATTTGGCAATTTTTTATGCCTGAATTTTGAAACATCTAACGGATCTGTGCTTTTTTCAACAACCTTTAAAATTCTCTCTTCTAAATTATTATTCAGTTTATTTTGAGGTATATATCGATAATATTTCTCTTCTTTTTTATTAACAATACTTTTGTTTAATTTTTCATTAAGTATATTTTCTATATTTTTTCTTGTATTTTCTATTATCTCATTTTCTTCTTTGTCATCCGGTTTGTATATTGGCTCATTATATTTTTCTTCTCTATCTTTTGTATCTGATAAAATTTTTTTCTTTCTTAATTTATTTATTCTCTCATTCTGTTCAATTTTATCTATATTATTGTTATATATATATACATCTTCATTAATCAAATTATCATATTTCACATTATTATTTTCATCAATATATTTTAATACAATATCATTATTATTAGTTTTTTTTAAACCAATATTATTTGGATACTGATTTATATGAATTTCTGGGTAAGCACCCCCTCCTTGAAAATCCTCATTACATGTAATTCTTAAATGCTTTCTTTTTAAATATTCATAACATTGATTTTTTGTTACTTCTTTTTTTGGCAATATTTTTTCTTTAATATTATTTTCATCTAAGTCATTGTAGTATTTCTTTGATGGTTTCGGAATATTTCTAAAAAAACGAAAAATGAGAAAATATATACATACAATTAAAAAGTGTTACAGGTATAAAAAAAAAATATGATAAGAAAAAAATACAAATAATGAAAACTTTTAAATATTATACATAAAAATATATACAAATGTACTTAAAAAGAACATAAAACATGAGTATATTACAATAAAATTCATACAGACGATAATCAAAAAATATTAATAATTATAAAACAAGAAAAAATAAAGTATAAATTAACATCACAATATTATGTTCATATGAATAATATAAATAGCATTTGCTATTCAAATTTAAAGCTATTTTTAAATATGAAACTTTCAAACTTCATAAAATATCTAATTTTTTTTTTTTTTTTTTGTTTAAAAAAATTGAAATATAATAAATGTAGGTACCTTAAAAAATCCGTCATTTCTTTGTTAAAGAGATTTGTTTTTATATGAATTATATTTCATTTAGCTTTTATTGTAATTTTTTATTCACTTTTTTATTTTTATAATAAATTGTGATAAATTTATTTAAAAATATTATGGAAAAATTAAAAATTAAATAAAATAACAGGATAAAAGTTCTTTAAAAATGAAATTTATAATGAAATTGCAAGTACATCATATTTAATAAATATTTATATATATATATAATTATATATATATATATATATTTTTTTTTTATTTTTTAAATGATTTATTTTTTAATAAATTATTTAAAGATATTAAAGAAATTATAAAATATTATGAATACATATCTAATAATGCGCATAAAGAAATAATTTCAAATTATTAAGTTCACTTTCTTAAAATAAAAACAATATGGTTAAATGTTAGATATATTTTTGACTGTTCTTTCATCAGTTTTTGCACACGATATTTTAAATTAGTTTTTTATTGTTAAATCTTCTTTTATATTATTTTTTGTATTTTACTTTTTTTATTATAAATTCTTATATTTATTTTTTTAATTTTTCATATAAAATAATTCATAACTTTTTTATATTAAATTTTTAAAATATCATTATTAATCTTTTAAAGCTAATTATTTTATATATATTTCTATATATTTAAAGTTATAATTTTGAAATTCATTTAAAAATATTTTAAAAACAATATTTAAAAAAGAGTGAAAGAAAAAAAAAAAAAAAAAAAAATCTGAATATTATTTTAATCTACAATACAAAGATATATTTAAAAAAAAAAACGAAAAAAAAAAAAAAAAAAAAAAAAAAAGATTATTCTTGAAATATTTTTGTAAATTTTTATATTTAATGAATCATAGAATTGTATTTCTTCCATTATATATATAAACATATATAATTTTTTTTTTCTTAAATGTAGGAATGAATTTAAGAGTAGTCTGAATTAAGTTATTTTTCTAATTTTTCTTAAATATTATACTAAGAAAAACATAGAAAAACCTCAAAAATCGAACTCACCTATGTATACTTGCTTATTAGCTTTTTCAAAACCATATTTTCCTTACGGAAAATATGATTGTTTTTTCTGTTAGCTAATTAATACTTTTTTAGTATTTTTTTTCTCAAAAATATTTTTAAAGAAAGAAAAAATGAAAAGAGAAGAAACTCTTTCAAATTTTCTGTACTCTTTAAATGCAGCATCTCAGACCTTCCTTCCTGTTTTTAAAATTACACAAAAAAATAAAAAAAATTTTAATTTTGTGTATGTACATTTGCAGGATATTTTGAGCTTAAACTCATTCCCTTTATAAAAGAAAAAAAAAAATATAATATATATATGTTTTGGGTCTTTTCAAATAACCAAAAAAAAACTACTTTTATATATTATTATGAAAATTCGTTTGCTTTATAAAATTTTTTATCCTTTGAAAAAAAAGAAATGATATTTGGAGTTCATTTTGTTTATAATGTATTATAATCTCTTTCTTATTATTCTTAAAGATAAAATTTTTTTCTTGTTTCTGATTAGTTTTATTGTTCTTTTCACTTTTTTAAATTTATGATTGTAACTAGATTTTCTTTTTATGCATAAGTTTTAATAATCAAAATATATCATATTATTTAAAACTTTCAACCTATGTTTTTTTCTCCATATTATCCTTTTTATTAAGTCCTCCACGAAAGAAAAACTGTTATAATAATAATAAAAAAAAAAATTATATATATATATATATACAAAAAATAAAATACATAAAAATAATAAATAAAATAATAAACTTTTTTAATATAGGAAAAAGAAATAATTTATTTATAATATAAAAAATTAATGATAAGTGTTTTTTCTGTGATATATATGGATTGACACTTTTAAAATTAAAAATTTAAAAAGCCACCGTATATACATTTGATTTATGAACAAATTTGAAGTTATTATTTTTAATATTTATATAAAAATATTTTAAATAGTAACTCTTCGAATTGTTCAATAATATTATTTAAAAATAAAGATATCTTCACTAATTAAAATATTTTCAGTGAAAGAATTTAAATTTTTATTAATATATATTTTCAAAAATAATTTTTTTTTTTAATTTATATTTTTTTAATATACCATTTTTTAATTTTAAAGTTTTTTTTTTTTTTTTTTTTTTTATAAATATTCAGAACTTCTTAGAGGATACAAAAACATTTGATATGAAATCAAAATCTTCTATAGAATTATCATCATAAATATTTATAGTTAAACGTTATTTCATTTTAGTTTTACTTTATGCATTTTAATTTTTTTCATATAAATACCTACCTTAATTCCTTAATCATTTACTCCATTTTATTTACTCTTATTATAATCAATATACAGGTTAAAATAATATGAGACATATATTTAAAAGGCAAATATAAACAAGTGTTTGCAAGATGTAAAATGATAAATTAAAATCAACACAGTATATATATATATTATAAAGTTTAAATATTTTAAAAAAAAAAATAGATAAATAAATAAGATATATATATAAATAATGTATATATAATATATATATATGTATTTAAATTAAACAAAAAAAACATAAATAAACAAAAAGTGTTAAATATAAATAAAAAAAAAATATATACATATATATAAAAATACATATAAAAAAAAAAAAAATATATAAATAAAAGGAAAAATATAAATAAAAGAAAAAATATAAATAAAAAAAAAATACAAATAAAAAAAAATATATATATATAAAAAAAAAATATAAATAAAAAAAAAATATAAATAAAAAAAAAAAATATAAATAAAAAAAAAAAATATAAATAAAAAAAAAAATATAAATAAAAAAAAAAAATATATAAATAAAAAAAAAATATATATATATATAAAAAAGGCTACATTTTGGCTGTTTACTAATTTATTTAAAATCTTAAAAAAAAGGATTTTTAAAACCCCTTAGATCTTCCGCCATATATTTAAAAAAAAAATAAAAAATATTTTTTAAAAAGGAAATCTGAGAAATGATGAGATTTCATTTTACTATAATTCAACTTATCTATATTATAAATGTATATACACTTTTTTAAGGTTAATAATGATTATTAATTTTGTAAAAAATATTTTATTCAATCAATACCATTATATAATATTCAATATTATAAAAGTTCATCTTAACACATTTTTTATTTAAATTACTTTTATCAATTATTCTACTGAATTCATGAGATATGAATTTCATTTATTTTTTTTTGAATTGATATAACACAAATATAGCATTATGAGGTTTCTTAAATATTAGTGGTATGCAAAATAAGATTTGTTTATAAATTTTTTTTTTTTTTTTATTCCCGTCCAACTGTGCGTGATTTTATACAATAAAATTTTTAGTACACTTGTTTAGTTAGATTACAAAACTATGATGATAAAATTATTCTTTAAAATTTTTTTCTAGTATGCTTTAGACTATTGTTTCATATATATATCTTCCACTTTTTTTCATTCCACATAAACTTTTTATGGAAGATTTAATGCTTTTATTGAATTTTTAATTTTTCTGTAACTATTAAAAAGTTGAAAATTTCATTATGCTTATTAATCTAAAAATTTTAAATGTATTATAATTAAAAAATTTAAAAAAAGAAAACATATGATTCTGATAATTGATTCTAATTCTCTTTAGATAAATTTTAATTCTTATAGTTCTACTTTTTTGTCATAAGAGTTATATATTAGATTTATTTTCATTAATTGAATTATATATAAAAATAAAATAAATAAAACAGAAATGAATGAAAAGAAATATGATATATTATTATTAGGTAGTACGGGTTACACTGGAAAAATGGTTTTAGAATATTTACTGAAAAATTATGAAACAAAAATAATAAATGATGAAATAAAGTTGTTATGTGCTGTAAGGAGTATAGATAGATTAAGTAAAGTTTTAATAAGTATTAAAGAAAAAAATAATGTTAAAATTGAAAAAATAAACAAAATGGAATGTGATATAAATGACTATGAATCTATTTTAAATTGTTGTAAAATATCTAATGTAGTGATAAGTACAATAGGACCTTATGCAATGTATGGATATAATATTGTTAAAGGTTGTATTGAAGGGAATGCACACTATTTAGATATATGTGGTGAACATACTTTTATTTTAAAAATATATAAAGAATTTAATAAACAGGCAAAAGATAAAAAATTGAAAATAATTCATAGTGCTTCCTTTATTTCAGCAATTAGTGATTTAGGAAATTTCATTATTCAAAATGAATTCTTAAATTTATATAAAAAACCATGTCCATATATTCGAGTACGTATGTCAACAGAAGGTAGCGATTTAACAACTATTGGAAAGGCAACAATAAAAAGTTCCTTACTATTTAAAAAAAATGTAGGTAATAGTTATAATAAGCATTATTTATGTGATAATAAATATGAACATGATATTTCATGTGAAAAAAAATGTCAACAAAATAATTCCTTTTTTGATTATGAAAAAGAGTTTGGTTATTGTTTTGATACTGCTTATTCAAAAGTTGAAGAAGCTTACGTATTATGGTCTAATTATTTATTAAATTATAAGTACGGAAAAGATTTGGTTGTTGATTATAAGCAATATGATCCACATTTAACTACAATTAAATATATTATTAAGAAAATTTTTTCTATAATATCTAATTTTTTTCGATCCTTTATTCTTCCTGATTATTTTATAAATAAGTATGTTGACTTAATTTATAAACCCAAAACATCTGATGAATTAAAAAAGGCTTATTGGAAATGCATATTAATTGGTGAATCTCATGATGAAAATATGAATGAAAAAATCGCTTTATATTTAAGTGGGAAAAATGAAGACCCTGGTTACTTATTAACTTCAAAAATTATTTCGGAATCAGCAATTGCATTGCTTCAAGATAATTTGCCAGACAATTTTGGTGTAGTTTCTATATCAGTTGGTTTAGGTAAGGTTATAGTTGATAGATTAAAGAAAGCTTCAATTAATATTCATGTTGAGAAATAAAGAAAATTAATAGAAATATTAAATTAAATAAAAATATAAATATGTAAAATATAATATAAAGAATATAAAGTATAAAATACATATTTTTTTTCAGAATGTATCCTATATAAATCTTTTTAATAATTTATTTTATTACATAAATATATATTAAGTGAAATGCATTTTTTTTTTTCTTTAAAGAAATTAGCATTCAAGTTGCCTTTATGTTTCTTCTTTCATTTAAATATAAGAAGAAACAATAAAAAAAATTATGTGTATATATATTTCTGATAAAATTTAATAATATAATTTAATACCTATTACAATCTTGTACTATATATATTTTACATCAAAAAAAAAAAAAAAAAAACGTTTTCATAATTTATATATATTTAACAGATATTTTTCATTTAGTTTTATTTACTTTTATTTCTTTGTGACACATAAAAAATCTCTTAATGAAATATAAAATAAATAAAAATTGTATATTATTTCCTACTTTTTTACAATTAATTTTTTTTTTTTTTTTCAAATATTTTGGCTTTTTATTGTATTATAGGGGATGTTTAATATTTTCTACAACTTAAAAATATAAAATAATAAAACGTTTTAAATGTATTAATTTTTTTCACATATTCTCTATAAAAAATAAAAAACGAATAGTTATGCATTTAATTATTTTTATATTATTTTAATGGAAAGAATTAATTATTTTTTTTTTAAAAAAATATATATATAATTTTACATTATTTTTGTTTTGCCTTAAAATTATTAAAGGGGTTTAAAAGGATTTAACAAGTTACATATAGCACTAAGGAAAAAAAAAAAAAAAAAAAAAAATTAA